TCACAAGTACATCATTATGGGGCAAGTGGACCCCCTCCAGGTCGGTATCGTCAAAAGTAATGGAGGAGGTCGGTCTCTGCTCCCTGATGATGCACACCTCGCGCTTGGCTTCGCGAGCTAGCTCTTTTCTTTTATTTCCAGATTGGCCCCCACTTGGGCCTCCAAAAATAGTATTAATGACCGCAGGTCGGTCATCTCGCCGAGGCGGCGTCCTCGATCGCTTCCTCTCTTCTTTCTTTTCGACCGAATTAGACCTTGGTTTTCCAACAAACTTTTTGAAGTAGCCGTCTTGAATGAGGTCTTCAATCTGTCATTTCAGCTCCCAGCAATTTGTCGTATTATGGCCGTGATCGAGATGAAAACGGCAATATTTATCTTTATTGCGTTTTTCTGGGTCTCCTGGAAACTTCTCAGGTCGCTTGAGGAGCTTTTCTATCCCGCTTTCCTCGATGTTCTAAGTATTTCAGAGATGGGGATGGTGGTTGGAGTATAACGCTCGTAAGTCGGCTTCGATTATGGCCGATCTCCGACCGACGATACTCGGTTTTGCTGCTAGAAGAGGACGATCCCTTGTCCTTAGACTTAGAATCAGCCTTCCTCTTCTCTTGGCTTAGCTTCTTCTGGTCGATTTGCTTTTCAGGTCGGCCAGTCTTGGTTCGGAGGAGTTCTTGTCCATCGATGACTTTCTTCGCCTTTTGTAGAACTTCGGCGAAGGTTGCTGGAGCCTCCTCTCCGAGCTTAACAGTGAGGGTCTCATCGGCCAGGCCGGTGAGGAAATAACACATGGCCGAATCATCGGAGGAGTGCACGACCTTAGCTGCTCCTCCTGGAACCTTGTGACATATTCTCTCAGCGTCTCTCCTTCCTTCTGCTTGATGGTGGCGAGGTGAGTCGTTGTCTTTCTATCGTAATGCCGAGAAGAGAATTGGCTAATGAATTCTTTCCTCAGCTGGGAGTAGGTCGAGATCGACCTGGCCGGCAGTCTCCGGTACCACAGGCGCGCGTTGCCGCTTGAAAGTCCATGAGGCCCTCGAAGACCTCAACATAGTCCTTTGGGTCCTTAGACCCATCATAGGGTTTCATGGTGGGAGTTTTGAACTTCGGAGGGATTGGAGCCTCCAGGATGTCCGAGGTGAATGGCGATTCTCCCAGGTCGCCATCGTCAAACGAACACTCTTTCTTCTCGCACCTGGCCTTGAGCGCCTCGACCTGCTCATCGAACCTGTGCTTCATCAGGTCGAACTCCTCCCTGGTGATCACAGCTTCTGGTGTTAGAGACTTATACTTTGATTGAGCCTTGAGGTCTGAATTGGAGAACTCTCGGGAGTAGGACGGGGAGTCTTCCAGCTCCCGAGATGCTCTCTTCTTCTTATCGGTGAGGTGCTTTCTCAAATCGTTATCCCGCAAGCTATAATCCACCCCCTCATTGTTGGGAATGGGCTCGCGGTCGCCAGGGTGGAGAGATGGAACCCGGCCTTCGTTCTCTC